GATAATACGATTAACAAAAATGAAGCAGACTGATTCTCATCTTGCTGAGTATCTTCATAATCACATAATAACAATCTCAATCTTCATGTATAATCTGAGTTTAATAACCTATAAGTGATAAAATCGCATTTAAAGTTTGTAAATTAAGAAGGAAAATGTTCGATTCGGATTTTAAAATATATAAATAAATGTATAAATAAATATTTTTTTACAAAGTAGCGTACATTTTGTTCTATGAACAAATAGCAAAAAATGACAGTTTATTAATAAGTTTAAAAGTCTATTAAGTAATTTATTACTTGAAATTTACTTCTACTGCATTGCAAATCTTCGATAAATTTAAAAAAAAAAATAATAAAGTGAGAAATAGATATGTGTGCTCGTATGGCGAATCAAAATGCAATCGCGACAAAAAAGTAGAACAGTAAAATCCTCTATTCTGCAAAGCGAGTTTCGCTGCAAATACCGTGCCATTTTTTCCACGTATCTTGCGTCGTATTGATCGTTGCAATTGTAAACAGCGCGATCTTGCATCGTCACGTCGTCGAACCGTGCGTTGAAATTTATTTCGGCGAAATTTTTGATTTCTTCTTTCTTTTTTTTTTTTCTTTTTTCCTTTCAAAAGTTCTCGTGACGTAAATCTTGCGTGTTTACTGAAAACTTCCGGCGAAAAAAAGCAGACCTACTTTGCGTATGATTTATTCGCCACCGTGCACGCGGTTGCGGCGGATGAGTTTTTAATGGCGCATAATACGGAAGTAAAAATTGCCAGCTTTCGTGGGACGCGGGAATTAGACCTCGCGTGAGAGAAGTGAGAGGGCGGCGCATCAGTTTTCCATGGATCGAGGGGGTATTACTCCGGTAAATAAATTCCCTCTCGCTCAGGAAGCAGAATGATAAGGTATCGTGATGTCCTAAGGAGACGCCAGTTACTTCCACGAAGACTCGTCGATACGTCTTCCGGGGAACTTTGGGCGCTCCACTGGCTGATTACCTCGGAAGATCTCGGTAACATTCGAATCTTATACCACGTATGTCACTGCCATTCGCGGACGCGACACGGATAGATTCTTTTCGCGTTCTTTCGATAAACCAATCTTCGTCCATTACATTTATCGTTAAACGTAAACATCTAATTTATATCACGTATTTATTTTTTTTTTTTTTTTTATAAAGTAATATTCGTATATTATTCGAATTGCCACAATTAAAGGTGTATACATACAAAAGAAATTATAATTCTTAAAAAAAAGTAGCATTTTGAAGTAGCGCCTTTTAATTTATTATTCATATTCTTTATCACGTTTACATACATAAGCGTAGCGACTTTATTTTTTAAAGTTCAACATTAATAATCCTCTTACAGAGGATTTCATATAAAGTTTTCATATGAAATGCGGATACAACGAGCATGACAATAAATATTTGTCAAATAGGATATTTATAGTAAGTATCTATTTCATTATTCTCTTCTAATAGAATTTATTTTCTGCAAAATCTTTGTACGTTTATCTCAGTATATGTGGAAATACA